GTATAAATGAGAAATGACAGGATGACCTATGATTCGACTCAGAGTCATTCAAGACCAAGGCATGGCACTGACAGCTATGGGTTAGAAGGAAGAGGTGAAGGAAAAGTCCCCTTGGGATAGCATGGGACTAGGAAGAATTCACAAGAAGCTAGAAACAAATGAGGTATTAAAAGATGAACGGGGCGTGGAAGGAAAGAAAAGCCCGCGAGGGTGGGGCGGGAAAATGGGCAGCAAAAGGTAGAGACTGGCGGGGTGGGACTGATAATCTGGAAAGAAGGAATAAAAGCTGGTGAGTCATCAGCAGAAATCTGAAAGAGAGCGAGCGAGACAGGGAGGGAGGGAAGGAGGGACGGAGGGAGGGAAGGTACAAGGTTCCCTGAGTGGTCCCACAGCAGAGGGTGCCATCCCACATGTTAGGGATCAGCTATGGTTGGCAGTGAGTCCATGAGGATGGAGACCATGTGTCTCTTGTTCCCCGTCGTTTCCAGAGCCTAAAAGAAGGGCCGACACAAACCCTCAATAAACATGGATTCAATAGATGAAAGGGGAAAATCAGCACAGTGGAAAGTGACTGGCAGGCAAAGGAGGAAAAGAGGCTCCAAGGAACAGAGTCAGGTTTTACAAAGTGATCACAGATGGACAGCGGAGGGGCTCCTGGTGAAAAAGAAACAGAGGGATCTTCTGGACTGAGACCTGGAAGGGGTGTGGCAGTGGGTGGAGGAGCAGACAGACACTACCTCAGCGGGGAGAAGAGGGGAAAGGATGGGCCGACCAGGATGGAGACGTGTCCTCTTTGCAGGCCCAGACTGGGAAGGCTGGGAGGGACAGGCTGTGGGAAGGTGGACACGCTGCTTCCTCTGAGACAGGGACAATGTGGGAGCAAAGGCTGATGACGACACCTGAGGAAACTAGTTGTCTCTCCCCAGATGGTCTGTTTTCTCAACCAAGAGTATGGGTTTGGGGAGAAATGGATGAACAGAGAACCCCAGGGCCTTAAAGAAAGCTGAGAAGCCTTTCAACTGGCCTATGGGAAAGGGCCAGAGAGTGACTCCTGAGACAGCGGCAAACAGTCCAGCCCTCACCCATGAATGACTTACTGCAACCCAGAGCTGTCACATAGGTGACAGAGGTAACTGAAGGCCCAATGTTGCTACAGATAACTTTCAGCTTCTCTCCAGTGACCCACCTGGACTGGTCCCTCCCATTCTATCAGACCTAGCCCGAAGTCTAGGGTCCTCAGCATTGTGACCAGGAGGGCTGTATCCATTTCCTGATGCTTTCAAGAACAAGGGGGCTTTACATAAATAATGAGGGGGGCTTTATTAGGCTTTGGGTTCTGGCTACCTTGGTCAGCTAGGAGTATCTTTATTCAGCTGTATCGGAATCCCTGGAAAGGCTAAATAAATGCAGAATAAAGACAATGTCAAATGCAGAGCACTTGTTGGGAACACAGGTGCGGGGATGCAAGCATCTGATAAGGAAATTTACCAGGTGATCTCCAAATATCCTTGCAGCCTGACATGCTAGGAAAAATGCTATAAACCAGATTGAAGGCAGATAGAAAGTGAGAAGCAAGGAGAGGACCAGCATCCTAATCATTTCCATCAAATAGATCCCACCATTTATGATAAACACATGAGCACAGAAAGGAAAGCACATTTGTGCTTAATCCATCACTGGGGGGACGGGGAAATGAGGCCTGAAGTCAGGTAGCATTATGTTTGTGCAATTCCACCCCACATGACACATTTTTCAATGAGACAGAGAAGGGAATCAGAATGAGGAGACCCCCTGAGGGAGTCACAGTGTGAGCATTTTTCTTCTCTTAATCTTCCTGGTTCCTGCCATCCCCCCAGAGGAGTGACCCTGGCCTTGTCTTCCACATCATAAATGCTCCCCACTTATTTATATGCCAAGACGCATGTGGCTTTAATTATTTATGATAGTGTCTCATTGCATACAGGGATGTCTCTTGGAGTCTGTTCCCTCGACTGATTAAGTCTTGGTTAATCAGAGACCTGCTGCTGGCTCAGCCAGTAAATCTCCACTGAAGACTGGCCTGGGCCCCCCTTCACCCTGTCTGTGTGAGTCACCAAAGGATTAGCAGACGGAGGATTAGCTGAATCCAGCTACAATGCTCCTGCTCATCCTCTGTCATGCCACTCATGTTTTCTGAAAACAATTAGGAGCCATTCTGTCTATTGATAGAACAAAATCTACCACTTCTCTAAAAACACTACTTTCCCCTGCATGGGGGGTTCTGATGATCTCGAGCCATCTCATGATATTCCTCTGATAAGACATTGTTTATTTTCCCTGCTCCTCCAAGTCTCATCAATAAATCTGCTGCCTTTCCATTTTCACTGTCCTTTTCTCATTTACACAGAACTGTCTGGATCCTTAGAATAGCCACTTTGAATCACAAGTCTAGAGGGCTCTAGAAGGAAGACTTCCTCCATATGGTTTGCCTAGTGTGATGAGTCCTTGGCTATGCCTTGTTTTGACACCAGAGAATGATCACCAAGCCCCATAGCTCCCTCCATGGCTCCCAGGCTTCCATGGGGACACTTATTCTGATGGCCCAGAGGAAACTTGCCTCCAACACACCAGATTCGCCCCATCTGGCAATTGTGCCAATAACCTAGTACCAGGAGCTTCTGCAAGTGGATGTGACCATGAGATCGCATTCTGCACCAGGAACCCAGAGCTTCCACTAAAGAGGACAGAGGGATCCTCATTATGCACAGATGCTATATTTGGGAATTCACCTACTTTCTAAAATGTATGTGCAACCCCAAAACCAAGACTGAAGGCATTTTTGCAGTCATTGAGGAACTCGTGTGGAGTGACAATATGTGACCCTAGGTGCATGTGTTCAGCTGAGGCTGAACAAAGAGACATCTGCCTTCTTCCTTTGTTTTTTTTTTTTAAATTTATTTTAATTGGGAAAAAAACTGTCATCTGTTGTATTTATCACAAACAACACTGTTTGAAAGTTCTTGTTTCAGCTCTCATACTATAAACAACCATTCTTTCTGTCGTCTACTACAGACCACGGTTTTTACACTTTTGGACTTGGTGCTGCTGACTTTGCAGTTGAGTAGGGTCCCCAAGCATAGCTCTGAAGTGTGGACTAGTGTTCCTTAGCTCAGGACAGCTGTGATGTGCATCACAGAAGAAAACACTTGTTAGATAAGCTTTGCTCAGGGAAGAGTGACAGTGACCATGGCCATGAGTTCAATGTTAATGAACCAACAATATGCATTAAATGGGTGAAACATGCATATGACAAGGTTATGTATTGACTGGTTGATAGAATGTGACCAGAGGCTCACAGGAACCTAACCTCGTGTCTTCCCTAGGAGCAATGGTTCAGTGTTCACTAATTTAGTGTTCACAGTGATTTCACAGAACACAACTGCTACAGTTAATGAGAATTGACTGTATATTGGACAGAGCAATGTCTATGTCTCTGCTCAAATACCTACAGCACCCTAGAAAACTCAGTATCAACCCTAGACTGAGCTGAACCCAGCTATCACCATACAAGGTCCTTCTTCCCAGTCCCACCCATGCCAGTCCAGGGGTGAGCTTGATCTGAGACAACAGATTTAGCCAGAGGTGAACTAATCTTTGCTGTGTGTTTCCCAAGGTTTTTCTGAAACACAGGTTTCTCTGTTCCTAGCCCAGTCCTGGTCCAGAACCCAGGCGTCCTTTCTCTGATACTGATAGGGAGCATCTGATACACACCGAGACAGATTCTGAAGAACACCCAAGCTTGGGAGGCAAATGATGGCCTTACGCTGACTCAGGCCCAGTCCCTCCTACCGTGACAATGCTCTCCTAAAAATCAGAGCCGGTAAAACCAAGCAAAGGCTGATGGGTTAGCCTAATGCACACTCTGCTGTAAGATGAACTAGCAAGAGCAGCAAGAGTTCTGTGAGCTACCAAGACTGCGGCCCATGTACAGAGAGCTCAGCCCAGGGGCTGAGCAAGACCAGAAAACGCCTCTTCCTAGGCCCACCCTGTGATCCACTGAGACATGAAGAGAATCCACTGGGCAGCCCTCCAGAGCCTCAGTATTCCTGTCTGTACGGTGAGGCCTCAACCTAGCCAATCACTTCTGTCTTTCCAGCTCTCAGGTAGACATGGGTGTCCCTGCTCTCCAGGGCCCTCTGTGCCCTCTTCTGAAGCAGTGGATCATTTCCTGGGGGGCAGGAATGGTGGGAGGAGCAGGGGTGTACTTGGGTGCAGCTGGGCCCAGGTTGAACCTGGGCACACAGCATGAGGAACCCTGCTGGATGGACAGCCAGGCCACTGAGGCCAAGCCAGGTCTAGAGAAGAGGGCCTAGCAGGGCTCAGCAGAAGGACAAGGAAGGGGTTTGGAACCAACAGGAGGTGGCAGATGAGAGGGAAACAGGTGCCCTGAGCCCTCTGGTCTGAGTGAGACATCTGCACTGGGGAGGTGAGAGCTCCTAGCACTGGGGCTGTGATCTGAATCTCAGAAAGTGCACCCTTCGGGGCACTGGAGGGGCAGCTAGAGAGATGTTTCCATTCAAAGGTACTCACCGCCCTTCATTCCCTTCCCCCTCATGGAGGCTTGGACAGAGGTTCTGGTGAGTTCAGGGGCTGCTGTCTGAACAGAGTCAGGTTATTTTTCCTGCTTACATAAGCCAGTTCTAGAGAAGAAAACAGTCTCGCTGTGTCTCCTGGCTTATTGGGAGCGCCTCTCAGTACCCATGGTCCTGCTGAACCCAGGTGAAGAAAAGAGGGGAGCAGGCTCAGACCCACAGCCCCCCTTCCCAGAGGACTCTGGTCCTGAGGACTCTTGGCTCAGGCTATTCTTAAAAGTTTTAAGACAAACAGGGAGGGTCTCTTAGAAAGTGGGAGGTTGGCAGGTGGCAAGTCACCCTAGAAGGTTCCAGAACCCCAGGTACATGGTCTATCACCAGCCTCCCACCCCTCCCCAAGAGGGAGAGCATTCCATCCCCAGTACTTACACGTGTCCGGTTTGTGGCAGTTGTGTCCCTGACGGAAGTACTGGGGGTTCTCAATGACCGGGATGCGGGTCATGCCAATGACCACAGTGTCGGGCCCGGCGTCCAGCGACGAGGGCGTGGTGATGCCGTGGTTGATGTGGTGCAGTGGGCTTGCTGAGTCCTCCTCGCCACTGATGACAGCCACGGGACCTGTACACACCAAGAGAGACGCGGGACCTGGTGACGTCACATCCGGCCAGTTCCCAGTCCTGCCCACAGACCACCCCCAACTGCTTTTCCCACCATAAACATTTTATTTTATTTTTTCTCCTTTTGGAGGGTGTTTTGGTTTTTGTTTTGTTTTTTTGTTTTTTTGATATTTAGTTGTTTAGGTTTCTAGTATATTTTTGATATATCAGATATATATGGCTTATCAGATATATATGGCTTACAATTTTTTTTTTTCCATTCTATCGGGTGCCTTTTTTTTTTTTTTTTTTTTTTGTTTTTTTTTTTTTTTTTTTTAAATGAGATAGAGTCTCGCTCCATCACTTAGGCTGGAAGGCAGTGGCACAATCTTGGCTCACTGCAACCTCTGCTTCTTGGACCCAAGCGATTCTTGTGCCTCAGCTTCCCAAGTAGCTGGGATTACAGGCCCCTGCCACCATACCTGGCTAATTTTTGTATTTTTAGTAGAGGCAGGATTTTACCATGTTGGCCAGGCTGGTCTCAAACTCCTGACCTCAAGTGATCCACCTGCTTCATCCTCCCAAGGTGCTGGGATTACAGGTGTGAGCCACCACACTCAGCCCACATTTTCTTTATTAGCAAAATCCACTGGAAGAGTATTCCTCAAATGCACTGCATTCTGAATTCAGAGAAACACCCTAAATTCTCTTTCTTGAGAATTACTCACCCAACAAACCATGGAAACAGCTGCAAAATCAAAGTGAATTTAAATGATCCTAGCATAAATTATTTTCACTTTCTCCCAAATCCAAATAGTTCAAAATAAGAGTTTTAAATACATTTATTATGTAGTAACAATGGGATTTTTAAAAAGACCTAGCAGTATTTTGTACCCTGCCCTTCCTCTTCTTTAAAAATGGCTGATACTGGATTTCACCTCCAGAGGTTCCGATTCAATTGGTCTGGGGGTGCGGGCTGGGCATCAGAGTCCCATGTACAACCAGGATCGAGAACCTCTCATTCAAAGACCCAGAGCCTCTGCAGCTGGCCACGAGACTCCCAAGGGAGTATGCTCTAGCTTTTACTGCGCTTGGCCATCAACCCTCCCTTATTCACAGGGAGGTAAGCCCAGTGTGGGCCTGGACGTAACCTGAACCGAGTTTCACAAACGACGGTAACTAAGCTGCATCACAATTTGCATGCCGGCAGCTGCGCCAGCTGCCTCACTCCTGAAATATCCTCCTTGACCCAATGGCTTCAAAGGAACATCATTTGTGTCTTCACCAACCCCGGCTTCACTCTTGCTGCTTTCTAACCCAAAGAAGAAATCCAATAAGTACATGCAGTTACTCAAAAAGCCCAAGATGGCAAAAACAATTAATGCTGCAGTCTTGGTAGAAGAATGATTCTGTTTGCTGCCATGACTCTCCCACACATACAAATAAAAGTCCTGTAAAGTGAATTCGCTGTGACTGTTTGTGGCTTCATACAACTGGCGTTTTAAATGGCTGCTTTGCTAGACACACAGTCCCCAGACAAAGTGCCTGCTGTGATTTGGTTTTGCAGCTTGAACAATATTTCCACTGCAGAAATCCATTACATCTTACTGAAGTTTATGGAGAGAATATTTCCCATCAAATAGCGAGGTGAAGCACCAATGAGGCAGAACTAAATGGGAGACTGGTAAATGCAAATGGAGGACCCTGAATTCCACTCCATCAGCACCGACGGGCTTATTCCAATCCATGACAAATGTCTGACTGTGTTTGGAGACCACGTGGAAACGTAGCTGTAAGTGGTTGCCCAAATACTCGCAATAATCACTTGCCTTGCAAAAAAGAAGCCAGTTCCTGAAAACACCTTGTAAACTTTTTGAAAAACTTTGTAGCAAATTCCAGTTAAACAGGGAAAACTAAGCACTGGTTTTTATCCTTCTTACCTCCTCAAACAAATACTAAACATTCCCTCCACTAAAATTTAAAAAAATGAAAAAACATGTGTTCACAAAGAGAAGGAGGAAGAGATATAAGGAAATAAGATATTTCAATGATATTTTGAAAAGTCTAAGGAGGCAAGTGGAGGAAAGACGAAAGAGTGAGAGAAGAGATGAGCAGCAGGAGAGCAGGGGGAATGTCTGCAGGCAGTCAGTTCTGCTGGAAAGAATCACTACCTGAAGAGACAAGGGAGCCAGGAAGGCTGAGGTGCAGTGGGGCTCTAGGCGGAAACAAGGCGCCCTACCATCACCCAGGGCTCTGGTGGTTCACCCAGAGACACTGAACCCAGAAGGGGAGGGCTGTGATGAAGCATCAAGTCGAGCCCCTTCTTCCTGCAATCCTGCCTCCCCACTACCCAATCTCATCTCATACCAGCACCCTGAAGGAGATTAGAGAATACATCTCTGGATGAATTCTCTCAGAAAAATACTTCTCGGTATGGACATTTGGGGACCTCCCGATAAAAAGTCAAGTTCATTCTGTGATCATGCCACAGGGAAGCCTGCCAGTTGGCAAGTTCCACCATGCACACAAGGCAGAATCGTGCTAGTTTTCCAGGGCTCAATTCCTAGATATGAAAAAACAGTTCAGGATCATCAGATACTTCAGCAAAGCTCCAGCATGACAGAGCACAAGACAAGTAGAGGGTCAGCGACCTGCAGAAAACAGAGGCAATGCAGGAAGCAGAAGAAGATTTTCTAAAAAAAATTACTAATATCCTCAGAGCCGTCAGTGAAAACACTGCATCTATAAAAACAAGGCAGTGTTTAAAACGTGATCAATTAGAGGGTAGTGAAGATTCCTTGGGAATAACAATCACCAAAATTTTAAAGTTAAAGAAGAGTGGAAAATAAAGTCGAGAAATCTTCCAGAAAATTAAACAAATTGGAAAGAGGTGGTAAATAGAAAAGGAAAGATAAGAAAATCAAAGGTTTGATAAAGAGATTCAAAATCTAATTATAGGAAATCCCAGAGAGACAAAAATCAGAAAAAGAGAGACAAGGAGAATGAATATGAATAGATGAATAGAAAACTAAAAGATGTATGGAAATTTCACCCAAATTACCCAGTTTCCAGCACAATTAACACAAGTATGCATGTATGTGCACAGACACACACACACACACACACACACACACACACACCCACCAAGGCACACATTTACAAAATGCCAGAGCCCTGGGGATAAAGAGAAGATGCTAAGAGCTTCCAGGCAGGAGGGATACATTTACAAAGGAACGGCGATCAGAAAGACAATGGAATCATTCTCTATAACCCTATCACTATTGTCACCGTACAGAGCGATTTCTTCAACATTTGGATGGGCAACTTTTCAACCTGGAAATCTACACCTAAAAAAATAAATAAATCCAATGTAAGGGCAAAATAAAGGTAATTACAAATGCGTAAAAAGCCGCCTGGCTCATCCCCTCCTTAGGATGCATCTGGAAGAAGGACATCAGCAAAACAGGGGCAAGCAAGGAAAAGAGGAAACTGGAGATTTAGTATCGTAGAGAGGCAGTCTCAGGCCACAGGGCTACAGGAAGGAGGTGTCTGGAGGGAGAGGTTACAGGATACAGTGACGAAGTCAGGATCCATGCGCCGGCTATCTTGTTTCCTCCAAAGCTCACAAGCCTTCGCTCCAACTACAGACTACTCGCTTTATTAGAACTGTAGGCCACAGACGGCAGGAAGACGCAAAGCCCAGGTAATGGAAGTGATGCCCTCAATCCCACCCCTTTCTGTTCTCAGCATACGAAGGTGTGGACTGTTACAGTGACATGCAGGAAGGACACAGAAGAGGGAGAAGTTTGAGAAGATACATCAAGATTTAAACCTTTTGTCAACGGCTGTTTCTTTGAATCTGCTCATGTAAAGTCCATCCATAGCAAGGAGTCAACGAAATGTTCCAAGAGCTTGGGATCTAAAACAGTCTCCACCTTCTCTACACTATTTGAGGATTTGAAAAAGCTGGGGTAAGAACCATAGATGGAAGTGTCCTGCCACAGGCTCGCAAGCCTTGGGAAAGAATGAGGTCACCCAGGAAGACGATGGAGATGAAAGAATAAAGCCAGACATCAGAGCCCTGAGGACCCCGATACCTAAAATGTGAGCATTGGAAGTGGAGCAAGGGGAAAGAGAACTGTCAGAGATGTGGCAAGAAACAGCACTTGGGAGGCCAAGGCAGGCAGATCACCTGAGGTCAGGAGTTCAAGACCAGCCTGGCCAACATGGTAAAATCATGTCTCTGCTAAAAATACAAACATTAGCTGGGCAAGGTGGTGCATGCCTTTGATCCAAGCTATTCGGGAGGCTGAGGCAGGAGAATCACTTGAACCTGGGAGGTGGAGGTTGCAGTGAGCTGAGATCCTGCCACTACACTCCAGCCTGGGCAAGAGAGTGAGAATCCCCATCAAAAAAAAGAAAATTCAAAGAAGGAGAGTTTCTAGAAGTTCAAGAGACACATACATTGAGGACACATAGAATTAAGCTTGGAAATAGGCCACTGTGTTGGAAAAGGTGGAGGTTACCTTAATGAGAGAAGTTTCCATGGAATATTAAGGAAAAGTCCAATTATAGTGAGTTGAAGGTTTACTTGGAGAAATCATAATCATTGTAATAATTTTTATTATTGAGTGCTTCCTATACATCAGGCTCCATAAAAGCAGCTCATCTTATAATGCCTCTGTGACATTGGTACCATCATTTTCCCCATTTTAAAGATGGGGGCATTAAGGCATAGAGCAGCGACCTGCCCAAGGACAGATGCCTAGCAGAGAAGTGGTGATGTTGGAACTCAAACTCACATTCTGGCTCCGGAGCCAGTGCTCATAACCCTCAGCCAGCACTGCCTCCCTGAAAGTGCAGACTGTGGGGGAAAGAGTTTGTACAAAGGGATACTTGATCAATTCCGGTACGTCAGCCTCCTCATAAGCAGCTGCCTTCGATTGCAGCTCCCCAAGACCCTTTTTAAAGATGTTCCTCTTGACCCTTGAGAATTGGAACAGGAGTGAGTCACCTCATTAG